GACCGGACTGTGCCTACCTCCAATGGGATCAACAGGCTCTGATCATTAGAAACTTGGTGATGTATTAAACAGCGGACTAATTTGATTACAGGTCATGGTGTCCATGGTGCTCAGGATGGTATGGAATTATAACCTGCAGTCTCTAAATTTCCTCTCTGATCGACGCGATGCTCGATAAACAATCTATGGATTCCCCACGTCATCATGCAAGTCTAAGTTAAAATAAGGATCCTTCCCAATGCCTCGCGCAACCTTCTGTTTCCGCTCATGGGGTCATGATGAATTGCTTCGGAAATTCTTGAGATCATGTCAGCTTTTGCCGTTCGAGCCAATACCTATCTCCTTTGTATGGAAAGCTACGAAAAGGAATTTCGAGGCTTGGTTGGCTTACCTATTGTTGTGTATCATCTCAGACTAAGTCGACAGCCAATTCAACTCACGAACTCACGCAGGACTTGGAGGAGGATTGGGCGGAAACGGTCTCGGTGACGGTGGATCTTGAACAGAAAAGCTGCCTATCGAATAGCTCGCAGGGCTTTCATTATTATTCTGAAAGCCCCATTTCGCGAAGGGCTCGAAATCCGCAAGGAGTGTCTTGCCGGAATTCTGCTGAAGGGCCATCGTTGGGGACGGTTAGGGATCTCCGCTTGATTGTATGAAGCTTGAGATAGGCAACAGGAAGCTATTGGTGGAATACGACTGAAGAGGAAGGTCTTTCACAGGCTTGTGTTTTGTGAAGGCTTCCTTCGACTGTAGGCCACTTGAGAATTGCTGAAGCTCATCCTCGGGGACCAGGCCAGTCTCGCTTTTAATACTTCATACTGCTGCGGCCATCGACGGCTCCGAATGTGTTCTCCTTAGCAGGTTAGGTTGTACACCGCCATCTCGCTGGTGATCCGACTTACGGGAAGAAACCGCGGATCTGACACTTCGGAAGTTCTACTGAACATGTACGTGCTTGCCTTCATCTGAGCGTTGGATCTAGGGGCTTCCTCATTCATGTCTGCAAGGGCCCGAGAGAGCCCGATCTGTTAGACAGCTTGCCCACATTCCATCTTCTCCGTCCCTCATAGCTTCCGCTGGCGAGCAACTGCAGAGCTCCGGCGCTACCAGAAGATGCTCAACTCCATCGCATACGTCAAAGCGCACTCTTGCTGCCCCGAACCATGGCAACCCCAGGGTGCAGATCCCGACTTGGTAGTGACACCGGCGGATTTGGGGATATTGATCGTCGCGGCTTGTTGCAGTAACGCGCTTTGAGCCGAACGTTATCAATCAGATCAACACCGATAGTCTAATTGAACAAGCTGGGGTAGTGCAATCGCTTCTGGAAGCATCTTACCCCGATGAAGAAGTTTCCTATCCAGATATTTGAGAAGGTCCAAGATCGGTCACTCTGCATGGCTGAAGAGTGCTGGGATCTACTTCTGCTGGGCAAGAGAACGTAGAGTCAGTCTACCCCTGCCAGGGCCAATCATTAGGAATTCAACGTCTTGAGGCGCAAATAATCCGCTTGCTGGGCCTTCCTTTTCAACAAGAACCCATCATTAGCATCAATACCTTGATGATCGCGACATACTTAGGCACTGGCCGCGATTTCTCGCTGTCTGGCTCTGGAGCAAGCTCAGAATCAGAATGAGGCCTTCTCCAATGAATTTTCCTGGGAAAATGGCAGTGTTTCTGGGAGTACAATGAATCAACTGCGCGACTCAGAACACCCGAATCAAAGCATGATCACTGCATCTGAGCACGTGGACAAGCTCCATTCTCCCTGGGGGTCACACCCGTCAGAAAATATCTCAGCAAGAACCGGCGAGAAAATTGGCTCACGATCTGTTCAGTAACAAGAGGCGAGTTGGATCACTGTCTTTACTGAAGCCATTTTACCAATTAGAGCCAGCACTGGTCTGTTAGCGATATAACCGGCTCGATGATGGCTGAAGGAACTGCCCTCAAGGTTAGGTCTTGTCGCACAGCGTCGGTGTGGGAAGGCTTGGCCACCGGTTCTCTACTCTTCAGCAACCCGCAGGGAGAAGAAACATCTACAGGAAGACATCTCCTAGCTCGGTTGACGAGTTCCGCGGATTACCTTACCTTCTGCAAGTTAATTCACCAGAGATCACAACATGCTCTAGCTCATTTATCAAGCTGGATGTTTTAAGCTTATTCTGACTTTGCAGTGTGACCAAGCAAATGATGTTCTAGAAAAGCGTTTAATTCCCGGGTGGCTGCGCCAGCTTCCGAAGGTCCTGCTTGACTTGTGAGGCAGTGTGACCTGGATCAGATGCGCCGGGTGATTTGAAGAGCTTACCTGGGTTCTCCTTGTCTGTTAAGTGTTTACCGCTCTTTCACCCTACATTGACGCCGTCTATTCCCGATATTTCGCCGCATAAGATCCAGGAGGTGTTATTGACTGATTGGGATGATATACCCATTATAAGGTCTTCGACTATTTTGTGATCTAGCAGTAGAGGCATTCCAAGCAGAATCTGGCTTACAGAGATTCGCTTAAGGTCTGAAAGAGTCATCATTGAAGCTGGACTTCCTGAGTCATCTATTCGCAAGCCAGATATTTGGAGTCAAGGCCTAATTGTCAAACGACGATCCAATCGAAGCAGGACACTCTGTTTAGTTTTTGATCCTCAGTGTCGTAGTGAAGGATCTCTTCGGCAGTCTGTTTGCTCTCCTGATCAAAAGGTGCACTTTTAAGCGCCTCAGAAATGTCGAGACTAGCGGTGAGAGTATGGCGCGCAACCATAGACTCGTCTTCTGAAATGCCAGTACCTACCCTTTTGACTCAAGTACGAGGTACTGGGGACCGCCGCTTCGCCGTCGAACTGGCATAGCTCCCAATTTACGGCTGCGCTTGTCCCGGAGGAAGCTGCGCAAATTCGTGAACTTGCTTGCATCTACCTGCGTCGTTTCACATCTCCATACCAATAGTTAAAAGCGAACAATGCGAATACACCAAGGAAGTTGGGGTAGCCTTGGGTGGTTTGACTGAAGATCCCGATAACTATTTACTGTACTTACCCGCGCTATCCCTTTCGGGACTAGCGCCATATCTCCGAATTCTTCCATCTGGACCTCCGACTCTTGCTGGATTATCGCTACAAAAAAAGAACCAGATAGGTGGATTGCCACTGTTTACAGTCAACAGCCCGGAGAATTCAATTCGCCAAGATAATGGCATCTTTGACACCCGCCCGAGCGGCCAGGACTGCTCTTTGCTCTGCATGTCGCTTCGCTTGTCCCAGCACAACCGTTGGACCTGCTACAGTCATTGCCAGGCGCGGACTGTCGACAACAACCGAGCAAGCACCAGTCGACACTGCCGATAAGCCGCGATGGTCATATACTCCTCCAAGCGCAAAGGCTCCTTTCAGTCTGCGATTTGACTCCAAGAGACGAGAATTTCCCGTCAATACAGACCCAAAAACTCTTGACCAATTCTACATCCGCATGCTGGGCGCCGATGGCGACAAGGTTCTCTCGGAGGAGGTAAAGTGGCTAGCTGTGACACATAAGAGCTTCGATCAAGGACGGAGAGGCTTTAATGATCGCTTGGCCTTCCTAGGTGCGCATACTGGATTCCCATGCGTCGGATGAGACGGTAGTTCGCGCGAGACTAATTCTGCTGTTGCAATAGGGAAACGGATCGTTCAATTACAAGCCTCTCTGGCTTTAGTGCAGAACCCCGGAAATGCCAGCACCTCTACCACTCCTGATCCTTTCGGTCGCGAACCTTTTGCCCACCCGGCCCTGGACAGCCTGAACAACCTCTCACCTAGCACGAAGAGCTTCCTTACAAGCAAGTCGAAGCTCGCAGAGCTCGCGCAGAAGTACGAGTTACAGAAGGTCCTGAGGTGGAGTCCTCGAAAGGTGAGATTGGTATCTCCTACAGTTTTTGTTCATCCTCGCCCTTCCGAGTAATTGACCGCGAGCCTGCTGACACGGGTTATTTCTTCCAGCCAAACAACCTCGCCAGCTCTGGAATCGAACTTGTGCTTGCCCATACGATGTATGCAATTATCGGTGCTATTGCCCTCGAGAAGGGCGGACACGTCGCCAACAAGGTGGCACGAGAGCGGGTATTAGCACCTCTTGGTCTCAAGACCACAGCTTAAAATCGGGGTTTCGTTACTGGGAAATGGCCGCAGGAGCATTATCAGGGCGTTGTTTCCTTTTGTTTTCCTCTGTCTCCGTCTTGGATGTTCCTTGTATGTGTTGGGGGCTCTTTTCTTCGACCGTATATGTACTTTTATTACGACTTGTGCTATATCACTGCAAATACCAGAGCTCTTCGTTCTCGAATATACTTCGTTATACGAAAAGACCCAAGGAAGCCATCAAGATCGATTAAAATGCAAGGAATGTACGGTTCCTCTGACGCCGCCCGAGTAACAGTAAGTATAATACCCGGCCAGCTCTTATGGAACCCTCATTACGATTTTAGTCTTCGCACCTCTGTATCGCAAGTCAACTATGGAGGCCTGCAGACCATTGTGAACAGAATGTTACAATGGTCGCAGAAATCACACGAAGCAATTTGGGCTGCCTTGCACTGTCTATTGGGAGCGTAGAGGAGAAAAGGAAAAGAGAAGAAAGAAAAAGTCCGAAGAAGCGAAATATAAACCCTTTCCCCGGGAGGGCCGCTAAGCTTCTTCGGGACTTGGCGTGGGGCTGAAGTTGAGTTCCTGAAAATTAAGGTGTTGACGGACTGGACTGCGACCCCAAATGGGCATCATCTTTATCCTGCATTGATCTCCTGGCCTCGCTTTCCGTCGAATTCTGCTATCATCGGGTTCATTGTTCCGCTTGGCTGCTCGGTTATAGCTTTAGCTCTTTAAAAGCGTACTCTCGTCGAATCTTGACCCTTGAGAGCAGAATGTGGCATATTGGACTCGCTGGCCTCTACAGTTGAAACCCGCTCCCATCGATTCCCTGACACAATCGGCATTCATACTATCGCCCTAACTACCACCCTCTCTACCTGCACAATGGCGTCCGCTCTATTCTTCTTGGACCTGAAGGGCAAAGTGAGCAATGCGCCCTCAACAACCCCATAATTTCTCGACCGGCCCTGGAACGCGCTGACAGACAGCTCGAGTAGACCCTTTTAGCCCGCAACTACCGTGGAGACATTCCCATGTCCGCAGTCGAGAAGTTCCCCATCCTCCTTAGCGAAGCCGAAGAAGAAAGCTCCGCCGTCCCTCCTTGTTTCTCCCACGAAGGAATCAATGTATGTGACACTCCTGCGAACCTGCACTGCCTGGCCTTCGGAGCTTTCCCCGCTCCCCGCAACTCACCTTCTCCCCTATTCGAACCAGCAACTTTGGCTCGAGCACATACAGGGAGTGTCGGATATGACTGTGTTATCTATCTGTGATTATATCAAGTGAAAAAAGTGCTGAGACGTGGTGGCTCCTCTCTAGTACCTCTACATTCGTCACAGCAATCTCTACATCCTCGCCCTAACCAAGAGAAATACCAATGCCACCGAGATCCTCCTCTTCCTCCACAAGATCGTGGAAGTCTTTACAGAATATTTCAAGGTGCTGGAGGAAGAGAGTATTCGCGACAACTTCGTCATCATTTACGAGCTACTGGACGAGATGATGGACTTTGGCTACCCCCAGACAACAGAGAGCAAGATCCTTCAAGAGTGAGTGGCTGTAGCCAGCAGTTGTAGATTTGCGCAGGACCAGAGACTGATTATATGCCTTTCCTCACCCCAGATATATTACACAAGAGTCGCACAAGCTTGAGATTCAAGCTCGACCACCTATCGCCGTCACAAATGCTGTCTCCTGGCGAAGCGAGGGCATTCGCTATCGCAAGAACGAAGTCTTCCTCGATGTTGTTGAATCTCTCAATCTCCTGGTATCGGCGTCCGGAAACGTCTTGCGATCGGAGATTCTGGGTGCTATCAAGATGAAGTGTTACCTGAGTGGTATGCCAGAGCTGCGGTTAGGTCTGAACGACAAGGTTATGTTCGAAACCACTGGTCGCGCTACACGAGGCAAGGCGGTTGAAATGGAGGATGTCAAATTCCATCAGTGTGTTCGACTGTCCAGATTCGAGAACGACCGGACTATCAGCTTTATTCCGCCGGATGGAGAGTTCGAGCTTATGAGCTACCGTCTCAACACGCAGGTCAAGCCTCTAATCTGGGTAGAGTGTCTGGTCGAATCACATTCGGGCTCCCGAATGGAATATATGTTGAAGGTAAGAGGTTTCCTCGGAAATCAAAAGTGCTCTATTGTAGCATTGGACTGACTCCCTTCGAAAGGCCAAAGCACAGTTCAAGCGTCGCAGCACTGCCAACAACGTAGAAATTCTTGTCCCCGTGCCAGAAGATGCAGACTCTCCCCGGTTCCGCACCAATATCGGAAGCGTCCACTATGCACCCGAGAAGTCAGCGATCATCTGGAAGATCAAGCAGTTCGGTGGTGGGAAGGAGTTTCTCATGCGCGCCGAACTCGGCCTGCCGTCCGTCAAGGGCGACGACGAGCACGGCGGAGGCATGACCGGAGGCTTCGGAGGCAGCATGGGCGGCACCGGGCAAGGCAAAGCCAAGCGGCCCATCAACGTCAAGTTTGAAATTCCCTACTTCACCACTAGTGGTATCCAAGTGCGGTACCTGAAGATCACAGAGCCCAAGGTATGCCCAGTTGATTCGGCACCCCGTTGGAGATCAAATGCTGATTTGACTTCTTGTTGCAGTTGCAATACCCCTCCCTTCCTTGGGTTCGATACATTACGCAGTCTGGCGATATCGCTGTCCGTATGCCCGATGTACAATGATTTCAAGCGTCGTGTTAGCTCAAATAGACATTTTTCTTTCTTTTCTGTCCTAGACCAGGCTGTCGGGTGGCAGGTAGAGCCTGTCTCCCAGTGTACAGCTGCTGCACCCTCAATAATGATATCCTCCGAACTATTTCTATTTACCTCACTCTGGAGCAGCAGGGGTCAAACGACGTTCAAGCCTATTTGAGCAAGAGTTCCCGTGATCGTATGCTGAGCATTCGACTGGTCTCATCTGGAGGCTAAAGAGAAAAAGTGTACCAATATGCAAATAATGTTCGACGATAGATGTGATTTACATTCGAGGAACATTGGCAATTGTTCTTACGAAAAAAATGCCACGCTTTGGGTATCTTATACAGAAAAGAAAACGCATCACTCTCAACCGGAACGCCGTCATCCCAATACTTTTGGGCATACCAGGTGAAGCTGTATTGTTCGCATCGCAGCGCGTAGGCCGGAGCCAGACTTGGGCCTGATCACCGCTTTTCGTAGCAGAAACAGCAGACCTACTCTGGTCCGTGTGCGGCATGAGCGTGCTAACTTAAGCAGTGACACCATTGGCCATCCTCGCTTCTGGAGAGTCCGATGCTGGGAGCGGGAACCCGTCCCCGTAGCCTGCCGCCGCGGCCTTGGAGAAGCCTTCCCGGGCCAACATGGTATTCAGAACGGCACAGTTGTACGCTGCTTCGCCTGGCGGGACTACCATGAAGATATATGTATTGTCGGTGAAGCGACCGAGAAAGACGTTGAACTGCGGGGTCTTGGTGTGCATGACCAGAAAACCGGCTGTGGCTGGTGTCGTGTGAGTGTTGCGGGCAGCGCAGTGCTTGAACGCCTTCATAATGTTCGAAAGACGCTCGTGGCGATCATAGATGGGGTTCATGTCACCGATCTCGGATGAGACAGAGGTCACGGTTAGGAAAGTCGAGCGCTCGAAGAGGATGACCTCCTCCGCATCGATTCTCTTCGCGAACGCGGTGAGGAACCGTTCGATGACGGTCAGGTTCGGGATGAGCTTGTGGACGATCCCTGCCCATGCCTTGTAGAGTGACTGGTCCCAGATGCTGCTGCCAAAGGTGTCAATTGCGAACTGTTCCGAGCGGCTCCGGATCAGTGCCGAGCGTTCCTCGTAGATGCGCTGGCGGTGCTCGGCCTGGATGAGGTCCATCTTGTGTACTAGGCAGAAAACGTGAGCATTGGGACTGTATTCTTTCAGGGCACCAATGATGGCATTGTATGTGTCGAGATCGCGTTCGACCTCCCGCGATTCAATGTCGAATACATAGATCAGGACCGCGACGTCAGAGAAGATATTCCCTCGCTGCGAGGCGAGATAAGTCTCCATGAACGCATCTTGCCTGTTGCCCCATTGACATGCGCATTAGCCACCAGGCCAGCCTCTAATAGAAACTACGAAAGACAGCAAACTCACCCTCCACAATCCCAGAGATTGAGCGTTAGATTTCCCATGAACTTGACATGGCTGTGCTCCACATCAATCGTAGCCCCAAGTCGCCGTACATCCTTCGCAACATAGTTGCTAAATATGATGGAACGCATGGACGACTTCCCCGAACCACTCTTCCCCATCAAAAGCACCTTTCTCTTCTTCTTGCGTTGATCCATTCTTGTTTCTTGGACTGTTCCGCTGCGCTGCACTGGGTTGACCCCAGTACCCCGCAATTTACGGGTATCAAGCTTGCTCAGAGAAATGGGAAACGGCGGCGCTATCGTGTGGATTGCAAGTTCTGCAGGTCCCTCCTATACATATGTGCGAATAGACTTCGTGTACAGGATGAACGAGACAATGGGTCTTGGGATTATTGGCTGATGGAAATGGAGGGGTATGACCAGCCTCCGTCATTGCATGGGCGTCGCTTGTTTGGGTCAACGATGATCCGCATGGGTCACGTGCGCAACCTTACAAGGAACAGTATTGAAGGTACAGTCTGCCTTCCTCGTTGCTTTACTACCTAGCTTTCTAGATCAGAGAGAACATGCTTTCTCTATTGAATCATTGAATTAGATTCCAATTACTAGTGGAGTGAATGTAGATTCCCACCTACACAATTCACCTCCGCAGAATGCTCATCTAGGTCTGAGAGAAGAAAACCCTAGTGGATTCTAGATAGTCTGATGATGTCCGTATCTCTGAACATCTCAAAAAATTTGAGCGCCTAACTGCTCGTTGCAATGGTCCTTGAAGCATCCAATTCCTTTTCAATATGAAGATGGGAGCAGGAAATCCAGGCAAAGGCCGTAACATCGTCAGTACTTTTACCCATGTCCACCATGAAAAGAAACAGTACACAGAACATAGTCATAACAAGGTCAGAAATATATCTAAATGAGAAGCAGAAATATATATAGTTAAGGTAGCTTCACCGAAGCTAATACGCACATAACAAAGTCAGGGGGTGATAGAAGACATATAGCATCTGGGTCAGGTCATCAAGAAGTCGTCAAGGCAACGCAAGTCATCAGGTGTGAAGACTAGAAGCTGGCGGGTGTGGGAAGGGTCGCAAATGTATGCTCGTGCTCAGAACACCGTGCCATCGGAGAGAATCATAATCGGAGGTTCTTTGGTGTTGGGTCGGGAGACCTCTGCTATTTCACGGCCGCCCTGTACAGAATTCGTTAGAGAATCAATTGACAGTGGAACCTCCGACTTCAAGATAGCGTACCTTCCATGATCCAGCTTCGAGCATCTGTGCAAGGGTCAATTGTTCCTCGCCTCTCAATCCCAGTTGATTGTTCACCTCCATGAGAAGGTCATCCAAGAATCCGACCGTAACGGCACGCCATTCAACAACCACATCATCATCGGCCGCGAAAAGTGGGACTACCTCCACATTTGGCTGGCCCTTGATCTGAGCGTTCTGTTTGTATGCGGCGATGCCGCGCTGGAGGTCGGCATCTTTGAGAGCTAACAACCCCATGTCAATGAGGAGTCCGCCATTTCGATATTCAGGGAGTCCAGTTAGGAGGTCACTGCCAGCGACGTGGATGTTCAGTAACTTTGCCATGGGTACCATGATCGAGTAGCAAAGCCATTGCGTAAGTTTGTGGAAGGGTACGATGCTCTCCCAAGGCTGTGCCGGAGGAGACTGGGGCATGCTTGAGCAGACCCAAGCATCTCCGATAGAGACCCCATCGACCTGGGTTCTCGAAGGCGGCCAAATTGATGCGAACCCATCCATGAGAACCGTCCACAATGTGGTGATGGGAACAATGGGTACAGACGAGGCAAGCGTAGATGGATGAGAAAGCAAGTAGTCTAGACCCACAATGTTACCGGATAGTTCGCTCACGGACATGATCAACGGGAAAACTTACCAAGCATGTTTCCTGGTCGAGCGTCCACGCCAAAGAACTCCTGGTTGTTCAGGGCCTCAGACAGTCTCATCAGCAGTCCAGCACGCCCTTCAAGCCCTGCCAGTTGATTATGTTCAGAATGCTGCATTCCTCTAGCCAATACCTCCACCGTGATCTTCTTTAGGCCCGCACCGTCGACCTGGCATGGTTCTGTGGGATCACTACTGAACAAGCCGCTCTTGAACATCTCCAGAGTGGCCACTGCTAACCCCTCGCTCCGAGAATAAACCTTGCCAGATTCTTTTGATTTGTACGACCACTTCGTGCCTGCACCAGCATCTAGAAGGACAGAGACCACGAAAAGGTCAATCAGACGCCGTGTCCGTTCCTGCGCATCAATTGTGCTAGGCCAAGCTTGAAGCAATTGATTCACACGGGGTCTCCCGCCAACGTCAAAATGCTGCCAGCGACCGTGAGGGGGAATGGACGCATAATCAGGCGCATAGTCTCTCTGAGTGAATGTCAATATTAGCTATAATCCAAATACCACAGCTTTAGAGGACGGGGAGAAGGCGCGTACTTTGATGATTGACACAATATACGAAGCTGTTGCCTTGAATTTGCTCATATCGACATCGAAATGATTCAATCTGTTCTTCTTTGCCTTGTCGAAAATGATGCGAGACCGCTCGCGGACAGCATGGATGCTTCGAAGGTAAGCTGCAGGATCCAATGCTGGATCTGGGGGTCTGGAAATAGGAAGCTCTGGGATTGAGGCTGGCAGTCCGCTTCCTTTGTATCCGGGGGACCTCAACGACGCATTCGAGGTGCGAGCACTGTTGACAGTAGCGAAAGAATCCTGCTCATCCTTATCGCTCTGAATGGAGTTCTTTGAGTCCTTGCGCTTGAACAGACCCATGGCGAAGGGAGGTACACGGCGTTGATTGTCGATGGCCGATGAGGAAACCAGTCGTCGTCTAGCGTCTCCAGAAGAGAGGGAGCGAACACTGGTGGAAAGGTATTAGGCCAGAGAGTATCTAGAGTGAGGTTGATTTTCGAGAAAGTAAAAGGCGCAAGACAGAGATCGGCCAAGTTTCATTGAAGGGGAAAGGAGACAGTGCACATCAAAAAGATGATGATCTGCGGCCAATACCTGGCGACACGGAGGAAGCGTTTGTTTTGGGAGCTTGTTGCTGGTTTGACTGAGAGTTGGTGGACAAGTTGCGCCCCCTCGCTGTTTTCCCCCTCGGAACGAAAATTTAATTTCACAAAAGCAACAATAAATAAATAAATATTATTGGTATGGGAATATAGGTAATAATAATAACGAGATCAATTAAGGCGCAGGAGAACTCGGGAAATATAAATCATACGCAGTTAAAAATTGATAATACTAGTAATAATCAAGCCCCGGGGGGTGGGCGACCGGACCTTTCTCAATTGAAAGAGAATTCGGCGCGATTAAGGAGAATCAGAGAACTTTAGGTACGATATTGATCATTTTATCTAGCTCTATTTGGGATTAGCACTTGTGAGTGTGCAATCACTGTAGTCGACAATGGGAGTTGGGAGGTGGACAGGTGGAGAGCTTTTGCACTTTGCAAAAGAGCAACGAGAGTAAGAAAGAAGGGAAGAACTCAAAAGAAGGCATCCAGCAGAGTTCAGGGAAGCTTAGGTGCCAG